AGTAGACAGGTAAGGAGGGGGAGGGCCCCGCGGGGCGTAGAAAATGACTAGCATCGGAACAAAACGACCCGAAAAAATGTTTTATAGCCCTCAGGAGGAAGACAAAAGTCAAAGACCCGGTGTCAGATTAAGGACAGAAGGTGGAGAAATCACAAGAAATGACGGAGGTAGGAGGAGCTGAAAAGGAGATTCAAAAGGAGTTTTTACAGTAGAGACAGGAAGGGCTGTGGGAACGAAGGGAACATCAAGAGGGAATTACCAAAAAGTGTTGGATGACTACGAACAAATGGGAGGAGGGAAGAAGCTCTTTAAATGACCTTAACCCCAAAGGCGATGGGACCGGACACATCTCCCCATGGGTCCTTAAGAAGGGGCGAGATGCTGTGTGTGCCCTAACCACAAACTTTAACACATCCCTTGAAACGGGCAATACCCGAGAAATGGAAGACAGTATGTAGTCCCCCTATTTAAGAAAGAAAAAAGAAACGAGGCATAAACTACAGACCCGGTCTTGAATGTATCGTGTGCAAGGTATGGAGAAAGATTATCAGGAGGAGAGTGGCGAACCCTGGAAAGGAACAAGATTATAAATGAAAACCCCGCTGGGTTCGGAAGGGAAATCTTGTATCACAAAATCCTGGAGTTTATACAAGGTAACAGAAGTAAGCACGAGAGAGAGGGTTGGGGAGATTGGTTTTCCTGATGCAGGAAGGCCTTTGACACAGTTCCCCAAAGAGATTAGGCAGAGCTGGAGGACAGGCCAAAGTAAAAGGAAGGGGACTGCAATGGGTAAGGGGTACCGACAGGGAGGCAGCAAAGAGTCGTGGTACGTGAAGAGTATCACGTGGGCGCCTGTTACGGGGGGCCCCCAGGGGTCAGTTCTAGGACCAGTGTATTTTGATATATGTGAACGACTGATGGAAGAATAGCTCGAAGTGCCCCTGTTCGCAGATGACGTGAACTGATGGAAGAATTAAATGGAAAAGGGATGAGGCAGGACTGCAAAGAGACTGGAGGGGGTGGAAGGGGTTCAGAAACTGGCTTCTCAAATTCAATCCAGCCAATGAAAAGTCAGAAGTTTGGGGAAAAAAAAGGGGGAAAAGAGACCGCAGACAGAGTATAGGCTAGGGGGGACAAAGACTACAGACCTCATCAGGGAGAAAGCCCTTTGGGGTGACCATAACACTGAGCACATACGGAGGCAACATAAACCCAAATAAGCTGCAGCACGGGCCCCTGGAAAACCCTGGAGAATAGCGTTCCGATCCCTTAAAAGGAATCGTTCAAGAATGTACACTGTGTATGTTAGGCCCATATGGAGTATGCAGCCCCATTGGAACCCACACCTGGTAAACCACGTCAAGAAGTTAGAGAATCAAAGGTTTGAAAAGGCTAGTCCCAGAGCTCAAGGGAAGTCGTAGAGGAAAGGTTAAGGGAAACGGCTGACGAAACTGGAGGACGAAGGGTCAGGGGAGAAAGATAACGAATACAAGTTACGGGGGGGGAATGACAAGGGGGAAAGAGTAGGATTTTCCAGAGAGGGGACACGGGAAAAGGGTCACAATGGAAGCTGAAGATTTGACGAGTCACAGGGACGTTGGGAAAGTATTTCTTCATCTAGAGTTGTCGAAGTGGAATAGCCTAGCAAGGGAAGTAGTGGAGGCGGGAAACCATACATAGTTTTAAAAAGGGGTATAAAAAAGCTCAGGAAGCAGAGAGAGAGGGTCCGTAGCGCAGTGAAGGGCGGGGCCAGGAGTGAGTCTCGCCCTGCAACCACAATTAGGTGAGTACAATTGGTGAGTATACCAACACACCCACAACACCCAAACACACACCACACACACCCCACACAACACCAACACACACACACCACCAACACAACCCCCACACACACACACACGCACACACCCCCCACCATACACATAAACATTGCCAGTCACACATACATCCCCCCCCCCCCACCGACATTCATCCTTCACCTGACCCCTCCCCCCCCTCTTTCACCCTCCCCTTCCCCCCTCTCCTCCTCTTTCCCTCCCCTTCCCCCTCCCCCTCCTTCTCCCCTCCCCCCTTAACCACCCACTTGTTTTCCCTTCCTTCCCACCCCCCCTTCCCATAATCTCCCACATAGCCACACTTCCTTCTCACCCCCCCCCCCACACTCTGACATACCAATACTAACCAACATAAGAATACAAAGGGTTTCCCCCTTTGAGGCAATCAGGTAAAAAAATGGGTTGCCAGCAGCAACAAAAAAAAACCAAGGGACAGGGGAGAAAACTGCAAAGGAAGATTGGGCAGGAGCTCAAAAAGGGAACATGAATGGGGAAAAAAACAGAAGAACTTGCATGAGAATGGGAAAAGAGGATAGACTGGAAAAACAGGAAAGGGGGGGGGGGAAAATCAAAGCAGCAGAGGCCAGGATACAGAGTTTAGAACAGGAACTGAAAAATTTAACAGCCAAAGAACTAAAGAACATTTTGGATTGAAAAGAGACTGTACCCCAGCCACAAATAGGGGGACTGTAGGGAAAGAAGGAGCAAAACAACATGTAGAAGCCAATCGGGGCAAATGTAGTAAATGAAAGACCTAAGCTGTATGTGGGGGCCCCAAACAGCCAAGCAGCCCCAGGGAAAGCAAGAAGGGAAAATGATGGGCCCACTAGCCAAGTACATTAGCTCGTGAAATGAAAAATGGAAAGCTGCAATAAAGGAAAAATCAAATTGAAAAAGGGGAACACGGGGGTAGCGTGGGGAATAAAAGGGTGAGGTCAGCTTTGTGTATGGGCCCCAGGAAGTTGAAGGGGAAACTATGAAGCCAGAAAAAAAGGGGAAAAAAAATTGAAAGAATCATAAAAAGCAATAGGAGAAGCGAATGACCAGTGGAAAATTTTCAGAAAATGGGGGGTATGTAAAAAAAAGAACCGGCCGGAAAGTGCCCTTGAAGGCAAAATCGCTCGGAAAGGATCTGCAGGAGAAAGCACGTTAAAGGGACTGCCGGCATACGGAAAGGGTGTATCTCGCCCGCAACAGAACAAAAGCAGAAGGCAAAAAACAGAGAGAGTGGTAAAAGGGCAAAAGGGGGAAAAAGGAGGGGAGGGAAAAGGAGACAGGAGACCCCAGACACGGAAGATCAAATCAGCCTTCCTCAAACTTCCTATAAAAGCCCCCCCAACCCAGGTAAACCCCCCCATTTGCAACCAAACCTCAAAACCAAAAAACCCATGAAATCCAATGCCCCCCCCCACTGCATTAAAACTCCACCCCCACAACAAACCAATATTTCCCTTTATAGGTCTCCATTCCCCAAAACCCCATACACCTCCCCGACCACAATCTTAGAAAAAAAAGTTGAAGGGTGTGGGGATACAAATGGAGATGGAATAACAAAAAAGGGGAGGAGTGGCACGAAAGAAACAAGGGAATCCCCAGACATAATAGCAACAGAAACAAAATCACCAGAATAAAACAGATTAATCTTTCCCCAACGGGTATCAAAAACCTCGGAAAGACAGAGGAGGAGAGGGGGGGGGGAGTTGCTGTCATTTAAAAACCGTGGGGTTGAGAAAAAAGGGAAAGGAAAGGATGGCCGGGCGAAAGGGACTACTTGTAGGAACAACCAGTTAGGGACATAAAGGGGATAAATTTCAGTAAAGTACAAACCCCCCACAGAAAATGAGGAGGCCAAAATGAGAGCAACAGAGCAAAGGGCGACACCTAGCGGGTGGCCAGGAGACACACATGGGGGGAGCAAGTTTTTAAATTATGGGTGATTTCAAACCAAAGGGGTTGACTGGGGGAAAAAATGGAGCCCCCTGGGGGTCCCGAAACAGGGAGCCAAAAGGGGGATGTGGTCTGGGAAAAATCATGCATCAAACATGTTAGAGCATCCGAGAGGAGGAGGGATGAACCAGCAAAAACGGACCCTTTTATTCACTGAGAGTTTGAATTGGGATATCATGTATGAAAAGGCCCCCCCGGGAGTAGTGATCATGTGGTTTGTGCTTCGATCATGTTTAGTCCAAGTGGAGGGCGCAGGAATAGGTGGAAAAAAAACCCAAAATTCAAAAGGGGGAATCTCAGGCTTGAGGAACTTCCTTCAAGAAATTTAGTGGGAAGGGAACTGACAGGAAAACCAGAAAGAAAAAAGTGGACTATGTGGGAACAAATGCAAGGAGGCAGAGGGGGAGGTTTTTTTCCCCAAAGGGAAAAGAAAAATGGGGAAAAAAACGAAAAGAGTCCTTGTTCACCCCAAAATGTAGGAGGCAAAAATAGTGTACTCGGAAAAAGGAAAAGGTTT